AATTCTTGCTGCAGCGAGTAACTGGTGGCTTCTGAATCGTCCGATTCTTTTGCAATTTGCGTGCACATACACGTAAGTACAGTTGATTTTAGAAATAAAGTGGTGTACCTTTTCTTTACGTTATTCTACCCTACAATTCAAAAGGTACTCGTTTCATGAAATATAGTTCTCGTTTTAACGGTTACTGCGGTTCGAATACATTTTACGGTTATTACGGTTCGAATAAATGTTTGAAATTAAAATAGTTACGAACAGTTAGTTGCTTAGAACAGTTGGTTATTTACAATAATGGATAATCGTGAATTGAATGCGGTTGGTTCACATGCTGTGGCTGGTCCAAGTGGCGTTAATAGCAAGCGAAATCGAAACAGTTCCATCAGCAGCAGTTCTTCATCGAGCGAGCACGATATTACGGTGGTAGGGCCACGCAACACTGTTGCACGAATGGACAGGTCCGTCCGGGTAAGTACCACGACCTCACAGAAGACCGGCATAAAGTAGAAAGCGTTATCAAAATTATCAGATAAAATATGTTTGCGCAACTCACCCACTTCTTCAAATAGTTTGACCATGATCTGTTTTGTACGTCGGCGCTTATTTGTCTTTTAACGTGAGAGACTACTAAGGTGAGAATGTGTCCTCTCTTTATCATTAGAAGTGCTCGATGAACTTTTACTGCTCTTTTTTTTATGTGAGAAAGAGTCAAACGAGCTGGCGGTTCACGAAGTGATAACCACCGGCCATGGACATTTGCAACACCCGTAGGGTTGCAAATACGTTGCCACATTTAAATAAAGTTTGCTCACTCAACAAACGAAACGCAGTAGTATTTCCAATTTACGCCGGTCTTCTGAGGTCGTGGTACGGATGGACCTGCCCATTTACGGCAGCATTAGAAAAGGTCGGTGGCGTCGGAAAAGCCTTTTGGCTTTCTAAAAATATCGATATAGAAAACCCTACTGGATCCCAATTGGTATATTGGTAGTGTTTCTGCAAAGGTGGTACATATTTAAAACCAATATGAAAACAAACCGTAGGTTCTTACTTCACAGATTTCGGTAATAACATAGATAAGAACGATATACAGTCTTAAATGATACTTTTTCATTATTTCCTTTTTATTGTGAACCTTTTTAATCTCGACAATTTCATATCGTGATGACAATTTATTATACCTACAGCTATTCGATACTAACTACGCGCTCCAGCTTCGCACGGGTGGACATTTATTTTTACACTTTGGGTTATGTATAAAGTGACCATGCTTCCCTTATTGAACGGGACTGTCCCTTTTCTCGGACAGCTGTCCCTTTATCATGAGCATGAGCAGCGCAGAACCGCGATCTGTTATTCCCCGCATGCACGCGCTCTTGGTTACCTAGAACGCGGTGAGGAGTGAAGGGGGCATTATTTGTTTCTTTCAATAGGCTAGCCACGCGCATGTATTCCGACTTCTTTGTTTTTGTGTAAAGTTCGTTAAATGGTTTTGTAGACAAATTGGAGTTTTGTTGTTTTGAAATTTTTCCTATAGTTATTCCGAAACCCAAGTGTTCATTTAATGTCAACCTTCAAACAACATACCCATTTATTAAGCAAATGAACACTCCCTCGGGTGTCAGATGTGAAGTGTCGCACAGTTTAAGTGTTTCCCATATATCCAATATGAAAATAATTGAAAACATACCAAATGTTGTTTTAATAAAAAACATTGAATCGATGATTTTTTTTCTTTTAATTTTTAATCTTTTCGGGATAAAGAAAATTAAAAAGTTATGTTTATTTTCATTTTAAATCAATGTCCCGTTTTGTTAGAAAAAAGTGGTCAGTCTATTTATGTATATTTTTGAAGTTTTAGTATGGTTCCATTAGATATTAAACGGTTATTATGGTCTGTTTTTGAGCTTATTCAATACAAAGATACCGCCATACATTAGAATAGATATAAATATGTGCAGATACAAAACGGATGATGCCTTTAGGAGGGACAAAATAAAGATATTTTGTTCTTAATTATTTATTCAAAGGAAATCTTGAAATGCCCTGTGCAGTAAAAAGGGTCCATATTTATACATCCGCAAACCGTTATACATGTGTAGCACTTAAATTAACCTAGTCTAAACATTGTTTTTCGCGTTCTTATTAGATAACAAATAGTATTAAAATTCATAAGACAATCTACATTTTTAAACAAGTAATTATACATTCCTAAAAGGATTAATTATAAACTTCTAAAACAAGTTACAAGTATACAATTAAATACGTAACTTTAACGAAAAATTGTATACAAGTTAAGAATGAAACTAACATTATATAAATAATACAAGCCTTGAGCTTAGTTTGGTGCATCAATCTATCCCACAATATGAAAAGACAACTTGTGCATCCGTCTTTTGGAAAACTTTATACATACTGTGGTGAGAAATAAAGAATTATTATTATTACTATAAATCACATCTAATTGAACTAAAAACAAATAAGTTAATTTTATGTTAAGCTACCGTATACGTGAAGATTTCCATATCTTTTTCTCTCTATGTTTGCGCCAATCTCTTCAGAGGCAATCTTGGATGGATCCGGATGAATCAGGATGATAAAGCCACTTGCTGGAGGTCTGAAGACTCCTCCTGTAGTACGGACGTGGACGTTGTCGCCTGGTCCCGGCTAGATTTTCATAATTTTCGCCCCTTGGCCAAACGCCTTGGGGTAGTGTTGCGTCAGTGATCCGCACGACGTCGCCGACAGCGAGGTTCTTTTAGCTCGTAATTTTTTGACTGGACACCGTTAACGTTGGTACTCTTGAACGGCTCCAAAAATGGTCGCTTACCCTGCTCGCAACGAAATTCGTATTCACTAGCGCTCCGTCGTTGAAGTGTATCGCCGCCAGTGCTGCAAATGGTCACCCTATCAGGAAGTGGTTAGGCGTCAAACTATCTTCGCTGTCGGCGTTCTAGTTGATTTGGTTCAAAGGCGAGACGAGGTGTTTGGCTTCTAACAACGTGTGGAGTCTCGCTCGGCGCTCTCTCCTCGAGTTTTAACGGTTAGTACGAAACCCCTCTTTAGTGTTATTTTCATTCTGTTGCGCTTCTTCCTTGCGTGTGTACGCCAGACGCCATACATATTTCTTGTCGACAATGACGACACGCAATGTCTGTCTAAATGATTTAAACTTTACTACGCGTTGTTAGCCGTGCCACAAATGCTCCCAAAGGGGAGAATTTTTCCGCGCTCGGTAGGACACGCTTAGGTGAAAATGTTTACGTTCGCCTTGATCCTTCACCGATTTGCTCGCTCTCGTATCTCGCGCCGTCGGTCACTTTCTTTAGGCAATTATCTTTGTCTTGATGATGGTTACTTGACCGGAGCCCTGCGCTTCAATAAAGTTGGGTCGTTGCCCGACCAGCCGCCCTAGTTGAATACCTCTTTTCTTATGTGGTCCATTTACGGTGCTATTCTCTTTGCTGAATGTGTGAGCGTGTATATTGTGGCAGCTCTATAGATAGTCGACCATGACGATGCTCTCCCTTTTCGGTACAATCTCGGAGCACGGCGATGTGCAATCTTCCTTCGTGATCATGACAAGTAGATAGGTACTTTGTTGGCCGTTTATTTGCGCATTCTTAGGACAAGTAGAAACTTTATTGGCCGTTTATGTGCGCATTCTTATTGGATACCAATTTTATAATTTAAATAGTACTACAATCCTTAAACAATTACACATTTCCAAAACATATAATTGTACAGTTAAAAACAAATAAGATGTAACTTTAACTTGAAACAATGTATAATCTATCATAAATCTTACCGCTCATCACATTAAAACACAAATATTGAACGATTCTTATGTTAAGCTAGTGTGCAATTGAAGATTGCCTACGCAAACTGTAGCACTAGTGTAATGTATTTTTTTTTGGTACGTCTGATACATCTTTAGTAAAAAAACGCTGATAATTACATCCGGCTTTATGTTGGTTTTTCTTTTTATTTATTTATTATGTTAGCAATAAAACATAAAAAACTTCGCCAAATTGTGAAAACAATTCATCGACTAGACAATGCACTCTTACATATTTATCACTTAAATAATAAAATAAAATAAAATTATTATTTATATATAGGTTACATTTCAAATAAATAAGAATAAACACAATAGAAAAACAGTAACAATCTAAGTAATGTCACTATTATAATAATCAAAAGGCCAGGCCAAGTTATTCTTGGTTATACAATCACTTTCAGAAAAAATCTCATGAAATATTTTGGTAATAATACCTTTCTGTCCTCAACACATAATAATTACATATAATAGGCTCCACATAAATTTTATGCTTTTATTTCTTAGGCAGTTATTGTTTTAGGTTTTTAAACTCTGGACTTAACACATTCCTCTAGGTCTATTAAAAATTTAATCTTTTAAGTAGGTATTGGTAATATATTACATTTTTTATACAATAACATACAACCACCGTTACAATCTGATTAATTGGGTGTAATCGCAAGATCTTTAATTAAAATAAAATCATTTGTAAATTTTTGATTTTGTCGAGATATGTATGAAAAGTATATATGTATAGGTACTAAATATAAATATAAGGTATACTACAGTAAAGTATACCATATGTAATATATATGGCCATTTTTTTGAACATGGCAATTTTCGTTTTTGTTATTAGGTCCATCTAGCTGATTTATTAGGAACAACTAACAACCATCATTTATGACGCTAGTGGTCTAAATGTGGTTCCAAATACGCCCTGTAGAGGCGCTGTATTATAGTGTATAAGGAATTGCCTTGTATGAAAAATCTCTTCTTCTACAATATACACCCATCAATACAAATTAGTCTTTGCTGCCCCCCCCCCCCCCTCCCCCGTCCCCCCATGCGTCCATTGTTTTACATGTTGACCCCTTCCCGCCCGAGGATCGGATTCAACCAATTCGATTCTTTAGATTCTCAACCATTAAGATTCTTTTGCAATTTCTAGAAATACAGTTCCTGATGGATGGACAACAGTGGGCAAGCGTGGCAACGTACAACGCGGCCCCCACCTCAGCGCGGCGGGGAACAACATCCCCCCTCCGCCCCCGCCCATCCACCTACGACGGGCCCCATCGCGCGGCGCCACAAGCGGCCGCCCCTCCCCCGCGCCCCACCTCAGGACGGACCGCCGCCGCGCAACCGCGCGAGCGAGAGGGAACTACCGAGCGACAAGGCCAACGCTATATATGGGCTGCACGACCGCCTGCCGCGCCCAAGTCGAGCGCACTTCCCGCGCCGGCCGGACACAGACTGCGTTAATGCCTCCGGCAAATACGCCGGAGGAGAGAGTAACAACGGAAACTAAGAAGCAAGCAGCGTCGGCACCGAATCGTCGAAGGGGATACTGCTGTATCTGCCAATAATGATAACAATCAAAGAATTAATTTCCGCAGTGTAAATTTTACAGATTACACCACGGAGGCGGACCGACGATCGCTTCAACGTAGGCTGTTAACACGGGCAGACTCTGGAGGCGACACACCACACTGGGGAGGTAACAACGGCCCGGCCGAGTCCTTTGCTGCGTTGTTGCAGACACTCGTGCGGGGCGCGGCGGACCTGATTTCTGAAGTCCTCACTGCAATAGCAGCCGGGGAGGATCTTGTAAACTATAGAACTTAAACTCATGTATTGGAACACAAACAAGAAGTTTCCACCCTTCCTCGCACCACTCGTCGAGCCACAGAGACAGCGCGTGCGTCGCGCTATTGCCGTCGCGCCACCTTTGTTTTATGTGAAAAGTTGCCAAACGAGCAGACGGTTCTCCTGATGTTAAATGAATACCGACGCCCATGGACCATGCTACACCCGAGGGTTTGCAGATGCGTTGACCTTTTTGGAAATTGGGCTCCAGCTACCCGGACGAGCCTGCCCATTCGTGCAACAGCCGAGGCTGCTGCGTGGCGCTACCACCGAAAAAACCACCTGAAGCGCGCGATAGCCCCCACGCGTCGCCACCGCGAGACATCTACGCAGGCTCAGGATTAGCACACTAGCACGACTCCTCACCTGGCGACCGCGAGTGAAGTTTTCCCGAGAGCAAGAGTTTTCCCGAGAAAAAGCTATAGGCAGGGCGCGTACTAAGTGCGTATCATACCGCAATCGTTTGGAACCCGTGCACCTCTCCCTGCTCGCGTGGCGACTCGCTGGGCTTCCCTTCGGGGTCTCATCCGGTTGGTTTGCCCGCGCTGAGGGGAGTAGGGTGCGCTTGCGTTCGCCGGGAACACAGCACCGCCAGCATCATCGGCCCGTACGCGCAAAATGGAAGGTGAGGGGGAACCTCCCCCGCAGCCCCAAAGGCGCGATAGGCGTCAAGTGCCGGTAGTGGACCGTCAGCTCGCCGAGAAATATTTTCTCCGGCGAACCGTCGCGCCCGCTGCCGTCCATCCGCACATTAAGTGCGCAACAACGCTCCGAAAGACCATCATCGGACGCGTCTACCACCAGCACCGAGGACAAGGAGGAGAAGGAGACGACCTCGGACCATTCAACCATCCGGCAGCCGCTGCAGCCACGGGTAAGCGGCAACGGAGAGATCGCAGGGGGCTCATATTTTTATGCAGCCCCCGCGGATTATACCCCACCGCCACGCCAGCCGAAAGCGCAGCGACGCCACACCCCGCCGGAGACGGAGGCGTCTCTGTTGGAGAAGCGGACGAAGGTGGGCCCTGCTACCTCATCACCGGAGCAGGGACCACAACAACAACAAGACCGACAACAAGACCAAGTAAGTCAACCTGGGGCGAGGGCTTATTCCCAACCCCCCAGGTCGCCATCTATTAACACGACACCAGCCAGCAACCCCAGTATGTCCCCGGATAGGAGGTCCAACAGAGACCTCGATATGGAGGACTACGGGGGAGAATCCGCGTGGACGGACGCGATGTCGTACGCGACGTTCGCAAACGAAGGCGCAAATCAGGGCGCCCGTTTAACACCAACGAATAAAGAGCCGCAGCCGTCAACATCGTACGCTGCGGCCGCGCTAAAACCGCCATCACCCAATGCGCAAAGGAGGACTAGCTCGCCAAAAGCGCCGACACCCGCAAAAAGAAAAGTCCACCCAGGAAAGAACGAGAAAAGGATATCCCCCGATCATGGTGGAAAAGCTGCCTGAGTGGACCAAGCATTTTAAAATACTGCAACAGCAGCTAGGACACGCCCCAAACGGCAGGCCGTACAGGACCGGCTGTCGTTTCCTGCCGCAGACACCACACGAGTATAGGGTGGTGCAAAAATATTTAATAAACTTATCGAAAACCACCGAAGTCGCATGGTTTTGTTATACACCTTGAGCTTCCAACAAAGGTGGGCATCAAAGGCTTATCCGAGAACACGGACACCGGGGAGATAATGGAGGCCCTATCAACCATGGGCTTCCCTGTTAAATTCGTCAAGCTTATCCCGAGGCAAAGGAAGCGGCCGGGATGTCTCTATTTTGTACAGCCAGATCACTTAAACGACCAGGACCTCGCCCGGCTATACGCAATAGATGAATTGCTGAGTATGCCGGGCGTTGAAGTCTTTTTCTGGAAAGGACGAACCGGCCCTTCCCAATGCCACCGCTGCCAAGCATTTGGGCATTCTTCAGCAGCCTGCTTCAAACCCGTCAAATGTGTCAAGTGTGCAGGCGGGCACATTGCATCCGAGTGCCCACTACCGCAGGGGGCGCAAGTTAAATGCGCGAACTGCGGAAGAAGCCACACGGCGAACGACCTACGATGCTCCGTTTTCAAAAAGGAAGCAAGAAAACGGGGCATTCAACTTAACGCTCCCACGCCCGATCCGCCGAGGAACGCCGACAATACGGACGGATGGACGACCGTGGGCAGGCGCGGGAACGCGCAAAATACGACACAGCGCGGGGAACAACACCCCCCCGCCCCCGCACCTCCAACCGCACGGGCGGCCATTACGCGCCGAGACAGTGCGGCGCCGCGGTCGGCCGCGCCTGTAATACGCCTCGCCCCAAGAAAACCGTTGCCGCGCAACCGCGCGAGCGAGACGGCAACACATCTGAGCGACAAGGCGGGTGCTATAAAAGCGCCGCACGACCGCCTATCGCGCCGCAGTCGGGCGCAGTCACTGCGCCGGCTCCAACTACGCTAATGCCTCCGGCAAATAGCCGATAGAATGAAACACTAATAAGAAAAAGCGAAAGCAGCGCCGGAAAACCAAAGTGCCTCAACTAATAATAATGCGCGATTTAATTTTAAACACGTTGCATTTACAGATAATACTACGGAGGCGGAGTCGGACAGCCAAGCTGGACGACCCCGCCGACGCACGCCTACACTGCAGGCGGAGAGGGGCCACACACAGCCATCACACTGGGGAGGTCACGACGGCTCCGCTGAGTCGTGTGCGGAGAGACTTAATACACGACGAGTTGGGACTTAACAAATTATTTCTTTATCTTCCATAGGTGTGAGGTTACATGTGGCTGGGAGGGAGATTCGAACCTATGCCGCCTACAGACCTCCGAAGTCACATCTCCACCCATCGGCACCATCTCACGCCGTTGGCGACCTCAATGCCAAACATTTGAATTGGGGGTCGCACACGATCAACACCGCGGGAAGGACACTCCAAGGGGACGCGGACCGGTGGGGATATGTGTTGGGTCCTTCAGAGCCAACACACTACCCTGCCAATGTGGCCCAAGCCCCCGATGTTTTAGATATAGTTTTAAATCACGGTTGGGATCGTCCGCTCAGACTTGAGGTACTGTACGACGTAGACTCCAACCACTTGCCCCTTGTCTCGCTTGATTTGGAGGCGACGAGTATTGCGCCTAAACCTCCAAGAATTAGGACCGACTGGGGATAATTTCAATCTTTATTAAAAGATTTTTCGCTACCAGAGCAGATTACCACCCCGGAAGATGTTGAGTGCGCAGCTGTTAAACTTAGCTAACGTATTACGGAGGCTAAGGAGGCGGCCTCAAAAACACTTCCGGATAGTGCCCGGTACGACATATTACCAGCACGTATACGCACGCTTATAAAACAAAAACGAGCGTTGCGTAAACTGTGGTCGCGTTCTCGTTGTCCACGAATCAAGCGAGAACTTAACTTCATCTCCGAAAAGCTGTCGGCGCAGGTGAAAAACCACCGTGGTGAGTTGTGGGAGCGACGTATCGATGCCGCAGGTGAACATCCTACGTCGCTACACCTCCTGAATCGACAGCTATCGCGTGTTAAGCAAGCCGTTTGTCCACTCCTTAATGGGGCGGGTCTACGTTGTTTTGGCTCTCAGGGCTGTAAGGGCGGACATCTTAGCCGATTTCTTAGAGGGTCAATTTAAAATGAACCCACAGAATGCTAGGGAGCCTGTCGTCGTCGCGCACCACAACCTAGTCGACTGCCGCGTACGGGAATTTCTGTCGGGCCCGGCGCCGGACCTCAGGGGAAGTGACATTTATGTCGCCATCCGAGGTGTGGCGAGCTGTGTTGCGCCTACCGGCGGTATTCCAAATGCGGCTCTAAAACAGCTTCCCAAACGCTGCATCGTCGCGGTCGCGCGTTTGTTTAACGGCATCCTGCGCACAGGATGTTTTCCTCAATTGTGGAAGATTGGTAAGATCTTCGTACTGCCAAAACCGGGTAAGGATAGGAGACTAGCGTCTAGCTATAGGCCTATCACCCTACTCTCTCACTTAGCAAAACTATTTGAAAAGCTCCTATTAAAACGCATGTGGCCGCACATTAATCTCCGTGAGGAGCAACACGGTTTCAGAGGCGGCCACTCAACAACTACTCAGCAAACGTCCGCGATCATCTTCGGTCGGAGTAGCACGAAGCGGCCTCCGTTGGCTCTCCGAGGGCAGAACATCGAGTGGCGTCCCACGGTGACTTATCTCGGGTGTACGATAGATCGCGCGCTAAGCCTAGTCCCCCAGGTTAACAATCTTGTTAACCAAACTAGAGCCGCTCGCGCGATACTACGTCCCGTCTTGGCATCCCATCTGCCGACCCGAGCTAAGATCGCCGTGTACAAAACGTATGTTCGCTCTCGGCTAACCTACGGGGCACCTGCGTGGTACGCCCTTATATCCAAACGCCAAAGGCACAGATTACAAGCCCAGCAGAATCTCGCTCTTCGAACTGTCGTGGGAGCGGGTCGCTATGTCAGAAATGACATTATCGCGAGGGATTTGGGAATCGAACCCCTCGAACATTTTATAGTCCGTGTCGCGCGTCGTATGTTCGACCGCGCCGATAACGGGCCTCACCCTCATTTACGCGGACTTGCACCGCTTCACGCTCGACCACCAGAGTGGCGCGCGCGCCCCACGAGAGGTGTTGCTATTGTCCGTCCCGCCCACGCATAGGGGGAGCGAGGGGGGGGACGGCGAGACCGACGCGAACACTTAATACCGTCTATATAGCCGTTGCTATGGCGACAGTTTACTGTTGTCATAGCAAACGCTGACGCAATTAGCGCGTGTGTAAATAGTGACTGTCAGATGTAGACAATTAACACTACATGATTAATTCATTAATTATGTAGTGTTGAATGTAAACAAAGGGCGGTCCATTTACATATGCACTAAGGGCGATTGTATACTATCAAGTGAGATGACGTAACGTAAATTCACGCGTCACAGTCATAGTGTCCGAGCCGAGATAGGCGAAAACATACGGTAATGTTCACATTCCGCTCGCAGCAGTCGAGACGAACGCACGCCTTGGCACGCGCTCTCTCTACTATTGCTACTCCCCACCCCTGTCCGCTTCCGCGAGCCGACTCGTTCGCCGCGGACGCTCAGTCGTCGCGCACCGCGCGCCGCGTTCGCTCGTGATTTTTATTACGAGTGGGCACCCCGCTCGCAAGTCGAGTTGCGAGGTGCAGTCTTGACTGCGCCGACCAACGCGCTTAGCAGCGGTTCTGTTTAACGTCTTAGGGCTAGTGGATACCTAACGGTGCTAACGAAGCTAGCCAAGGCTTGCCCCGATCGCCTTGCGGTTCTCTCCTGAGAACCGCGAATTTTTCGGAAGGGACCACCATCGCTGGCCTTGGGTGTAGTCCCTAGTCAGCGGTGGTCCACGTTTGGCCTTTTAGCGCCCTCGGGTAGTTTTAATTAGCTATAAGTACACACCCGCGTGCACAATAAGATCGGCACAAGGACGCACTAGGGTCACACAATTAGGCACTCATCCTCCCTGCCTATACCCGGCAGGGAGGGATACGGACACACCCCGGCATCCCACCGGGCTTACTAAAATAGGAAAAATTTTTTTTAAAAAATTAAAAAATGGCCGAAATTAAGGCCATATTAATGACCCTTCAGGCAAAGCACCCTGAAGCTTTTAAAGATGCCCTTCAGGCACTTAAAGAATTATCAAGACCCTCCTCAAGGGCATCCTCAACCGACGATGCTGCAGCGAGCTCCTCCTCGCAAGAGGAAATGGAGCTAGACTCGCCCCCTTTCTCCCGACGCCGACGAAGGAGGTTTGTTCACCGAAGTGGTGAACAAAAAGAAGCGCACCTCCCAGCCGTCTTCAACGGCCACGTCCCCCGTACCGCCAGTTAAGGCGCCAAGGCCGACCGAATCGGCCGTAGCCGGGCCCTCAGTGCCCAGCCAACCGACAACATCGCCTTCAGCGATCCCAACCCCATCGCCTTCAGCGAAGCCAACCCCATCGCCTTCAGCGATCTCAACCCCGGTTGCTACTCAAGCAGCCCCCGCGCATCCCGCAGCCCCACGTGCGCCGCAGGACAAGCGCCCACCCCCTCTATTCATTCGAGACACTGAAAAGTGGCCGATGATTGCCTCCGCCCTCTCTAACAGGCTAAAATTTGTAGCCACTACAACCGCACAAGGCATCAAGCTTCAGCTTGAAACTGCCGACGCCCACCGCCAAGTATCCAAATTCCTAAGGGATAAACAGGTGTTCTACCACACCTATACGCTGGCCGAGGATCGCATCCTACGCGCCGTAATCAAGCGTATACCCGCTAACATTCCCACCGAAACGGTGTTTGACTCCCTTAAGGAGCAAAACCTCCCCGTTCATGCGGTCCACCGCATGAAAAGCAAAAGGAAGCGCAGCCCCATAGACATGGTCATGGTCCATCTAGACCTCACTCCAGAGGGGAAAGCAATATTCAATATTGAGTCAGTCATGGGACTGACCAATATTGTTATCGAACCTCCACACAAGGCCACCCTCCCACCGTCCACGTCCGGACCGCCGTATCGAGTGTAACCTCTTAAAACCACGTGCTTTCGCTCGCACGATTCCCGTGCTCCCCGCGACCGCGAGTGCAAGCATCTTGCACTGTATCTCCCCTTTTCGTAAAGAAAAGGGGCTGACAGTGCACGCACACTGTGCGTAAAAAGTTATCCCGAAAAACATCGCGACCCGCGCACCGCTCCCCGCTCGCTGGGCGCCTCGCTGGGCCTCCCCTTTTGGGGTCTCACCCGGTGGGTCCGCCCGCGCCGAAGGGAGTAAGGTGCGCGTTAGCTCGCATAGGGAAAATAGCCCTTACCATCGTGGGCCCCCGTCAGCATGACGGACAGGGGAGATCCTCCCTCTGCAGCACGCAGGCGGGACCGCCCGCCGGCGGTTGTTGACCGGCCGCTCGCTGAGCGAAACTTGTTCGCGAACGAGCCGCCACGTCCGCTGCCGCCGATCCGCACCCCGGCCACAACAACACCTTCCGCGGCCGCCGCAGCTGAAAAAGTCAGCCACAAGGACAGCCACGCAACCACCGATGCCACCAACACGCAATGCGGTAAGACGCCAATGCCGACATATGATTATGTTCGGGCAGAGGAACCGAAACCCGCACGCCCGCCCAAAACCACGCGCCCGCGTACCTCACCATGCGGGCAAATAACCTCGCCGACCGACAAGCGACCACGTGTCGGTTCGGCCGTCTCTTCGCCCGAGCAACGCCTGCTCGACTCGGGAGCGCGTGCGTATTCGCAGCCGCCCCGATCGCCTTCATCTTCATCCACTTCTACAAATACGACCCCAAGATCTACTCCCAGCGTCTCGCCGGACCGACGCTCGGATATATTTATCCAACACTATGAAATGGAGGAGCTTGGTGGCGAATCGGCATGGACCGATGCCACCTCATATGCAACGTTTGCAAAAGAAAGTGCAGGTAAGGGTGCCTCACCTCTCTCTCCCCGAGTTCGCAGCCCGCAGCCCTCGACGTCATATGCAGCCACAGCAGCCGCATCCGCAACCGCAACACCAAGGCGCAAGACGCCCACACCGCCGCCGTCGATCGCAGCAGCAGCACCCAATGCAGCCGCCGCCAATACCGCCGCCACCGTGAACTCCGAGCAGTCGACCGCACAACGCAAGGGCTACCCGCCCATCGTATGCGAATTCCTGCCGGAGTGGACGCGACACTTTCACGAGCTGCGAGGTAAATTAGGCCACGCACCTAACGCCCGCCCCTTCGGCAAGGGAGTACGTTTCCTGCCACAAACTCCTGAGGAGTATAGAATTATTCAACGCCACCTCGCCGACGCCTCTAAAACAATAGCCATTTCGTGGTATTGTTATACTCCTCAGGAGGAACTACCGACCAAGGTCGGCATCAGAGGGCTGCCATCGGATACCACCCCCGATGAGATCCTGCATGCGCTGAGGAGCCTCGATTTCCCAGCGCAACACGTTAAACTAATACCGCCGCAACGTCAACGCCCGGGGGGGCTCTTTTTCGTGTCACTCGAACATCTGAGTGGCGCGGAACTCGCTCGCCTATACGCAGTTAATGAACTTCTCAATATGCCGGGCATTACTGTTATGGGGTGGAAAGGCAAGAAGGGCCCACCCCAATGCCACCGTTGCCAACAGTACGGCCACTCGTCCGCAAATTGTCACCGGCCCGTCCGATGCGTCAAGTGCGCGGGCGAACATATCGCTTCTGAGTGCGACATGCAACCGGGCACAACGCCTAAATGTGCTAACTGCGGCCAGGCGCACACAGCCAACGATCGCCGCTGCCCCGTATTCGTTCGCGAAGCACGTAAACGAGGAACAACACTTTCCACACCACTTTCCGTCCCTCCGCGCAACGCGAATAGAAAGCGTAACACCACTGACGCGGAAGGATGGATAACCGTAGGCGGTAATAACGCGCAATCACGCACTGCGCGAAATACGCAGTCGCGCACTGCGCGAAACGACGCGGGAACACAGCGCGTCATCACCGAGCGCCGTCGACTGACCGGGCTCGCGGCAGCGAGGCAGAGGACACCTCAGACCAGTTCCCGACTGCCCCCTGAGTGTGCAACTTCTACCCACGTACGCGTTCCGCTCGCAAGAGTGCCTACCCCCGCGACCGCGAGTGCAACCATGCAGCTCTGTATCTCCCCTTTTCGTAAGGAAAAGGGGCTGAAAGAACGCGCGCAAACAGTGCGAAAGGATCCCATATAACATCAGCAGCCCGTGCACCCCTCCCCGCTCGCTGGGCGCCTCGCTGGGCCTCCCCTTTTGGGGTCTCACCCGGTGGGTCCGCCCGCGCCGAGGGGAGCAAGGTGCATGTCCGCTCGCTAGGGAATAGCACTGCCCGAATAAGGGCCCCCGTCCGACATGTCGGACAAGGGTGATTCCCCACCCAACGCCGTAAGCGCGAGAAGCGCACACCGGCGGTCGTGGAACGACAGCTCGCCGCGCGAAACTTGTTCACCGGCGAGCAACCGACGCCGCTACCGCCGATTAGATCAAAGGCGCCATCACCACCACCGGCAGCCACTACTGTAGAACACCTCCCCAGCGCGCCGGACTACGAGCCCACGCCAGTGGGCCCGCGGTGACCACGCGGATATTCGGCGGCCCGGCATATGAACATGCTAGGGCCACGAATCCACTCCCTCCGCGACCCGCGAAGACGCTACGCCGACATACACCACCAGAAACCGAAGCATCTCTATATGAAAAACGCCAACGCGTGGGCGTAGAGATATCCACACCGGAAAAACACGTAATTGATGCGGGAGCAAGAGCGTACTCACAACCACCACGCTCGCCGTCGTCGGACTCGTCAACCGTACGATCCGTACGATCCACGCCGAGCTCTTCACCCGATCGACAACAACAACGTCAACCATCATACGATCTGGAAGAAATGGGAGGCGAAGCAGTGTGGACAGACGTCACTTCGTATGCCACATTCGCCCCCAGCACGGATAGTAAACACCGTCGTACGACGCCACCGCGTTCACCACAGCCGTCGACTTCCTACGCAGCGGCGGCCATGCTAGCCTCGTCTCCCAAGACGCAGGCAGCACCCAAACCAAAATCACCAACACCACCGCCATCTAAGGCGCAGGAACAGGAGGGCGCCCGTAAGGGTTACCCTCCCATTATAGTGGAGAAACTTCCGGATTGAACAGTCCACTTTAAGAACATTAAAAATAACCTCGGACACGCACCCAACGCACGCCCACACGGCAGAGGAGGGTTGCGTTTTATTTCGCAATCACCGCAGGAGTACAGGATCATCCAAAAATACCTGTTCGAAATAGCAAAAACCACACAAATAAGCTGGCATTGCTATACGCCACCGGAAGAAATGCCAACGCGAGCAGCAATAAGAGGATTGCCGCCCGACACAAATCAGGAAGAAATCCAAGAGGCGCTCCAGCTCCTAGACTTCCCAGTAAAACACGTAAAGCTGATACCACCCCAGAGACAAAGACCTGGAGGCCTATTCTTTGCCGCATTTGACCATCTAAGTAATGCTGAACTAAGCAGATTATACTCAATCAAAGAACTGCTGAACATGCCGGGCATAGAAATTACAGGCTGGAAGGGTAGAACCGGACCGCCACCGGCGCCCGCATGGTACGCCCTAATATCCAACCGTCAAAGGAATCGTCTTCAGGCCCAGCAGAATCTGTCTCTACGCACTGTCGTAGGAGCGGGACGCTATGTTAGGAACGATGTTATTGCGAGGGACTTGAGAATCGAACCCCTCGAATCCTTTATCGTACGTCTAGCGAGACGTATGGTCGACCGCGCGGACAACGGTCCGCACAAACACCTTAACGGATTCGCACCCTTGCATGCGCGTCCTCCTGAATGGCGCGCGCTTCCGCGAGAGATATTGCAGCTGCCCGTCTCGCTCCCACATAGGGGGGTGGGGGGGGGGGGGGGGGGGGGACGGCGGGACCGACGCCAATATATAACGCCCCAGCACAGACAGCAAGCACCATCGCACACCGCCACCGCGTTCACCGCAACATCTTACGCAGCGGCGGCCATGTTAGCCTCGTCTCCCAAGGCACAGGCAGCATCTAAACAAAAATCACCACAACACTTCACACTTCTGTCCTGCGATTGTCTGTTTTATCTCACCAGACCTTTTATCTTCCACCGTAGCATTTAAAACCTGATGAATTCATTGTAGCAAGGACACAATCACTGTAAAAGCTTGTATTATGATATATAAATAAATTTATATCAACAATTGTGTACCTAACAAACAAGAAGACCTATTTTTGAACATATTAAGGACCAGGTAATATAAAAAGCTCGACTCACCCTTAAATACATAGACAGCTCATCCAACCTATCAGTTTTATGCTCCCATATTGGAGATTTCTTTAAGAGATATAAAAGTTTATCCCAATTATGGGAGTATATTGAAGGGCTTATAGCCAGCTGAAACTTCTGCCGCCATTTGTTGTCTCAGATCACTCTCACAGGAGCTGCCGTTCAATTGTAACTGTAGAAGATTCCGTTTACACTTTCTGTCAGAATCGGGATTTTGAGAGTCCAATGATTCAATGACTCTTTGCTACAACACAATTGTTACTGTTTTTTCACATGGGCCTTTTGAAAAATACAATCAACTATTTATATTTTTCAAAGGTCCAGTAATATTTGTTGCCCAAATTGTCAGAGGATGTCCTACACAAATTTGGTCGGACAACGGGACAAATTTGAAAGCCGCCGATAAAGAATTAAGAAAATCAATAGACGCCGCCACTATGGAAGAAGTGGCCAAGAAGACTATATCTTGGCGGTTCATCCCGCCCGCCGCTCCTTTCATGGGCGGAGCATGGGAGCGCCTCATACGCTCCGTAAAGAACGCGCTCACCGCCACGCTCCACGAACGACACCCGAATGAAGAGGTACTCTCAACGCTGTTGGCAGAAGTGGAATACACGTGAACAGTCGCCCGCTGACTCACGTGTCAGTCATCGCCGAAGATCCGGAGGCCCTCACCCCCAACCACTTCCTGCTGGGGGGTAACGGAAGGGTGCCACAGCCGGGGACTTTCAACGAAAACGACGAAATATCAAGAGCCAGCTGGAGAGCAGCGCAACGTCTCGCCGATGGCTTCTGGTCGCGTTGGGTACTCGAATATCTGCCTGAGTTACAACACCGGCGGGAGCCGCATGGACTTGGTTTAAGTGTTCAAAGTGGTGACTTAGTGCATATCGTGGACGCTAATTTACCGCGAAATGTGTGGCCCCGTGGCAAAGTCGTCGCTACGTATCCCGGTCCTGACAACATCGTGCGCACGGTCGACGTGCAGACGAGAAGTGGAGTACTACGGCGGCCAGTCAGGAAGCTGGTCATACTACCACGTGCTGAAGACTCACCAACGGAGGATGCGGGACGAGCTAAGAGCGACGCTTCAACCTGAGCTGCCCACGAGCAGCAAACCCGTACCGGTAGTTATGCAACTCAGTTGCACGGCGGGAGAATGTGCGGGATAACTTAGTTTAATAGTGAATCATGAAAAGTAAATTAAGATAAGTAGAATAGTGTTTGTATAAGTAATTCGAAATAATTGCTTAAAACTTGCCTATTTTAGATTGTCTATAAAAATGTCTGTATAACGAAATACTATATGATGTCTGTATAACGAAATACTATATGATTTTAATTGTATAACTGTTTTTATATGACTATTAACGCATATGTTGTGAAATTAGTGCGATAAAATAATTAGGGAAAAAGTGTATTTTCATAGTGTCATCGTAATTAATAAAACATTAAATTGAATTATTTGTAAGCTAGTCATAAGACCTCGATTCTTTAAGGTAACGCACCAAGAGGCTGCCAAATAAAAAATGTAAGCTCTCTGATGGCTCTGGAAGCTCACTTGCAGATTCTTCAACCAGGCGACCGCAAAGTGAAGTAGCCAGAGAAAGTACTACCCGTACTTTCATTGAAAAGTGCCAGGCAGTGCGCGTACGCGAGTGCGTTGGAATACCCCAATCTTTTGCAACCCGCGCACCTCTCCCTGCTCGCTGGGCGACTCGCTGGGCCTCCCTTCGGGGTCTCACCCGGTTAGTTTGCCCGCGTTGAGGGGAGTAGGGTGCGCGTGAGTTCGCCGGGAACCAGCACCGCCACCAACATCGGCCGTACGCGCAATGGAGGGAGAGGGGGAACCTCCCCCACAGCCTCAAAGGCGCAACAGGCGACAGGTGCCGGTAGTGGAACGTCAGCTCGCCGAGAGAAATATTTTCTCCGGTGAGCCGCCGCGTCCGCTACCGTCTATCCGCACCATGAGTGCGCAACGCCCCGGCAGAACATCGCCGGGTGCGAATATTACCACCACGGACGAAGAAGAAGAAGACGAGGAGGAGGTATCGTCATCCGCTACAACCACCATCAGACGCCCGCCACAGCCTACACGGGCAAGCGGGAGTGGAGAGATCGCAGGGGGCTCATATTTCCATGCAGCCCCCGCGGATTATACCCCACCGCCACGCCAGCCGAAAGCACAGCGGCGCCACACCCCGCCAGAGACGGAGGCGTCCCTCATGGAAAAGCGGACAAAGGTAGCCCCCGCTACCTCATCACCGGAGCAGGGGCCTCCGGAACCACAGGTGAGTCAACCTGGGGCGAGGGCCTACTCCCAACCCCCCAGGTCACCATCCAATAACTCCACACCGGCCACAACCCCCAGCATGTCCCCGGACAGGAGGTCCAATAGGGACCTCGACATGGAAGAGCTTGGAGGGGAATCAGCCTGGACGGACGCGACATCCTACGCGACATTCGCGAACAACGGCACCAATAGAGGTGCCAATATAATAACACCAACTGCCAGTGAGCCGCAGCCATCAACATCTTACGCTGCGGCCGCGATTAAGCCGCCTTCTCCCAGCACTTTGCGGAGAACAAGTTCACCTAAAGCGACCAACAACATCAACACCAAGGAGAAGCCCACCCAGGAGTCCACCAGAAAGGGATATCCACCCATTATGGTGGAAAAACTCCCGGAGTGGACCAAACACTTTAAAATTCTCCAGCAACAACTCGGCCACGCCCCGAACGCGAGGCCGTACCGCAGTGGATTCAGGTTCCTGCCACAATCGCCACAGGAATACCGGACGGTTCAAAAATATTTAATTACGCTAACCAAAACCGTTGATGTGTCCTGGTATTGTTATACGCCGGCCTGTGAACTCCCCACAAAAATAGGGATTAAGGGGCTGCCAGAAAGCACATCAACAGAGGAGATCATGGAGGCCCTACTCAGCCTGGGCTTCCCAGCAAAGTTTGTAAAACTTATACCCAGGCAGAGGAGACGACCAGGATGCCTATTTTTCGTCTAGTTAGAACATCTGAACGAACAAGACCTCGCCCGGCTATACGCAACAGACGATTTGCTAAGTATGCCGGGCGTTGAACTCTTTTACTGGAAGGGACGCACAGGGCCCTGACAATGCCATCGTTGTCAGACACTCGTCAGCAACATGCTTTAAACCGGTGCGATGTGTTAAATGCGCCGGAGAACACATTGCATCGGAGTGCCCACTGCCGCAGGGAGCGCAAGTGAAGTGCGCGAACTGCGGCAGAAACCACACAGCGAACGATCGTCGTTGCCCCGATTACAGGAAAGAAGCGCGAAAACGGGGCATACAATTGAATGCGCCCACACCGGAGCCGCCGAGGAATGCAGACGGCTGGGTAACCGTAGGCAAACGCGCAACGGCGCGCGGCCCTATACTACGCGGGGAACAACACCCCCCCGCCCCCGCACCGCCACGAGAAGCCATCGCGCGACGAGACAGCGCGGCGCCACAAGCGCCCGCCCACTCAGTGCGCCCCACCCAACGACAAGCCGTTGCCACGCAACCGCGTGAGCAAGACAGGGACACCGGAGAGCGACAAGGCGGGCGCTATAAAACCGCTGCACGACCGCCTGTCGCGCCGCAGTCGAGCGCGACCACCGCGCCGGCCGCCAACACCACTTTAATGCCTCCGGCGAATACGCCGAAGGATAAAACTCAAAAGAAAAAGAAAAACAAAAAGCAGCGCCGGGATCGGAATGTCGATGAGGATGCTGCTGTATCTGCTCAATCAACCAGCACGCGCAATAATAATACTAACTTAAAAAATGTCGTATTTACAGACTATACCACGGAGGCGGAGTCGGACAGCCAAGCTGGACGACCCCGCCGACGCCTGCCTTCACTGCGGGCAGAGAGGGGCCACACACAACCACCACACTGGGGAGGTCACGACGGCTCGGCTGAGTCGTATGCGGAGTTGTTGCAGCGACTCGTCCGGGCCTTCGCGGACCTGATTTCCGAAGTCCTCGCTGCAATAGCAGCCGGGGAGGATCCAACTAACGCGGCGATGCGCGTATTCACCCGTCTACTCTCGGCGCACTATGGCTACCGTACTTAAACTTTTATATTGGAACCTCGATGGTGTAAGCTCAAAGGCGGCAGAGCTACGCACCCTCGCCCAAATGTATGGCATTCATGTCATCCTTTTGGGGGAGACTAAACTTAGGTCGGGGCAAAGCTTTAAAGTTCCCAATTACTTTGTGTATCGGCGCGACGAAGTCACTCCGCAAGGAAGGGCGTACAGGGGAACCGCCGTCCTTGTGCGGAGGGACTTAATACACAACGAGTTGGGACTCAATCGATTTATTTCTTTATCTTCCATAGGTGTGAGGTTACATGTGGCTGGGAGGGAGATTCAAACCTATGCCGCCTATAGACCTCTGCAGTCACATCTCCACCCATCGGATATTCATGCAATTTTTGATAATACCTCCCCCGCGCTAATCGTTGGCGACCTCAATGCCAAACATGTGGATTGGGGGTCGCACACGACTAATACCGCGGGGAGGGCACTCAACGGGGACGCGGACCGGTGGGGATATGATGTGTTGGGTCCTTCAGAGCCAACACACTACCCTGCCAATGTGGCCCAAGCCCCCGATGTTCTAGACATAGTTTTAAACCACGGTTGGGATCGTCCGCTCAGACTTGAGGTACTGTACGACGTAGACTCCAACCACTTGCCCCTTCTTGTCTCGCTTGATTTGGAGGCGACGAGTATTGCGCCTAAACCTCCAAGAATTAGGACCGACTGGGGTAAATTTCAATCTTTGTTAAAAGATTTTTCGCTACCGGAGCAGATTACCACCTCGGAAGATGTTGAGCGCGCAGCTGTTAAACTTAGCCAACGTATTACGGAGGCTAAGGAGGCGGCCTCAAAAACACTTCAGGATAGTGCCCGGTACGACATATTACCAGCACGTATACGCACGCTTATAAAACAAAAACGAGCGTTGCGTAAACTGTGGTCGCGTTCTCGTTGTCCACGAATCAAGCGAGAACTTAACTTCATCTCCGAAAAGCTGTCGGCGCAGGTGAAAAACCACCGCGGTGAGTTGTGGGAGCGACGTATCGATGCCGCAGGTGAACATCCTACGTCGCTACACCTGAGCCGACAGCTGTCGCGTGTTAAGCAATCCGTTTGTCCACTCCTTAATGGGGCGGGTCTACGTTGTTTTGGCTCTCAGGAAAGGGCGGATATCTTAGCCGATTTCTTAGAGGGTCAATTTAAAATGAACCCACAGAATACTAGGGAGCCTGTCGTCGTCGCGCACCACAACCTAGTCGACTGCCGCGTACAGGAATTTCTGTCGGGCCCGGCGCCGGACCTCGGGGAAGTGACATTTATGTCGCCATCCGAGGTGTGGCGAGCTGTGTTGCGCCTACCGGCGGTATTCCAAATGCGGCTCTAAAACAGCTTCCCAAACGTTGCATCGTCGCGGTCGCGCGTTTGTTTAACGGCATCCTGCGCACAGGATGTTTTCCTCAATTGTGGAAGATTGGTAAGATCTTCGTACTGCCAAAACCGGGTAAGGATAGGAGACTTGCGTCTAGCTACAGGCCTATCACCCTACTCTCGCACATAGCAAAATTATTTGAAAAAATACTGTTGAAACGTATGTGGCCGCACATTAGCCTCCGTGAGGAACAACACGGTTTTAGGGGCGGCCACTCGACTACCACTCAACTTACCCGGGTGCTGCACGAGCTTGTGTTCGACAGAAATGTCGGGCGCAAGTCGGTCGGAGTCTTTCTCGATATCGAGAAAGCCTTCGACCGGGTGTGGCACCAGGGACTTCTATTCAAATTAATAATAACAACAACTATTCCGCACGCTATCATTAGGGTGATAGCGTCCTACCTGCGGGGGAGAACCTTTTATGTTAGCGTTGAAAACTCGCGTACCTCACCATGCGGGCTAATAACCTCGCCGACCGACAAGCGACCACGTGTCGGCTCGGACGTCACCTCGCCCGAACAACGCCTGCTCGACGCGGGAGCGCGTGCGTATTCGCAGCCGCCCCGATCGCCGTCATCCTCATCCACCTCAGCAAATACTACCCCTAGATCTACTCCCAGCGTCTCGCCGTACCGACGCTCGGATATATTTATCCAGCATTATGAAATGGAGGAGCTTGGTGGCGAATCGGCATGGACCGACGCCACCTCATATGCAACATTTGCAAAAGAAAGTGCAGGTAAGGGTGCCTCACCTCTCTCTCCCCGAGTTCGCAGCCCGCAGCCCTCGACGTCATATGCAGCCACAGCAGCCGCATCCGCAACCGCAACACCAAGGCGCAAGACGCCCACACCTCCGCCGTCGATCGCAGCAGCAGCACCCAGCGCAGCCGCCGCCACTACCGCCGCTACCGTGAACTCCGAGCAGTCGACCGCACAACGTAAGGGCTACCCGCCCATCGTATGCGAATTCCTGCCGGAGTGGACGCGTCACTTTCACGAACTGCGAGGTAAATTAGGCCACGCACCTAACGCCCGCCCCTTTGGCAAGGGAGTACGTTTCCTGCCACAAACTCCTGAGGAGTATAGAATTATTCAACGCCACCTCGCCGACGCCTCCACGTTAAACTAATACCGCCGCAACGTCAACGCCCGGGGGGGCTCTTTTTCGTGTCACTCGAACATCTGAGTGGCGCGGAACTCGCTCGCCTATACGCAGTGAATGAACTGCTCAATATGCCGGGCATTACCGTTATGGGGTGGAAAGGCAAGAAGGGCCCACCCCAATGCCACCGTTGCCAACAGTACGGCCACTCGTCCGCAAACTGTCACCGGCCCGACCGATGCGTCAAGTGCGCGAACATATCGCTTCTGAGTGCGATATTCAACCGGGCACAACGCCTAAATGTGCTAACTGCGGCCAGGCGCATACAGCCAACGACCGCCGCTGCCCCGTATTCGTTCGCGAAGCGCGCAAGCGAGGAGCACACCCTGTCCACACCACTTCCCGTCCCTCCGCGCAACGCGAATAGAAAGCGTAACACCACACGCGGAGGGAAGGACAACTGTTGACTGCAATAACGCGCAACCACGCACTGCGCGAAACGACACAGGAACTCACCTGCCGATTCTACATCCAGGCGACCGCGAGTGACGTAACCAGAGAAGCTACTACCCGCACTTTTATTGGAAAAGTGCCAGGCAGTGCGTGTACGTGAGTGCGTTCTTAGTACCCCAATTTTTTGCAACCCGCGCACCTCTCCCTGCTCGCTGGGCGACTCGCTGGGCCTCCCTTCGGGGTCTCACCCGGTTAGTTTGCCCGCGCTGAGGGGAGTAGGGTGCGCGTGAGTTCGCCCGGACCGGACAGCACAGCCAGCAACATCGGCCAGTACGCGCACAATGGAAGGCGAGGGGGAACCTCCCCCACAGCCCCAAAGGCGCAGCAGGCGCGCAGTGCCGGTGGTGGACAGACAGCTAGCCGAGAGAAATATTTTCTCCGGTGAGCCGCCGCGCCCGCTACCGTCCATCCGCACGATGAGTGCGCAACAACGCTCCGGCAGACGATCGTCGGAAGCGTCCATCTACTCGAGCACCGAGGACGACGAGGAGGAGGAGACAGCCTCGGAACCAATCACCATCCGACAGCAGCCGCAGCCACGGGCAAGCGGAAGTGGAGAAATCGCAGGGGGCTCATATTTCTATGCAGCCCCCGCAGATTATACCCTACCGCCACGCCAGCCGAAGGCGCAGCGAAGACACACCCCACCCGAGACGGAGGCGTCCCTACTGGAAAAGAGGCTATCGTGAGACACCAGGTAGGAACGAAGTTCCTTCGGCTAATGTAGAATCGACACAAATTGCAAAAAAAAATTATGTAGGTTTTCTTGATTTTTCTCTTAAATTTTGCTGATTAGTTTTTATTTAAGTACAAGAAAGTATTTAGGAAATTCAGTATTTTAGGAAATAATCATCGAAAAAAAAACATCGTTATTCAAATTATCAACTAAAATAACAAAATTATACACTACTCGCTTGTGTATGCGACTGTCGCGCCTGCGCACGTCTCATTTAACGGTTTTATTCCACTTTTTTTTTTTCCACGGATTTTTTATTACGGTTTTACTATCACATTTTTTTCAGTTCGGTCGCGCAGCAAAATCCCTATCCCCCCCTCCAAGCCTGCCGTAAGGAACTTCGTTCCAAAAATGTTGATACTGATATATTAATCTAGGGGAATCAAAATCCTTACCTCTCTGGTTAAAAGATATATCTATATATGCCTGAATCATCTACTATCTTAATAGATCAGAGTCCCCAGCTTTTAATTCAGTACACTCTAGCAGTCATACAATATGAAATGCACACGCTATAAGTTGAAGGAAAACATCGTGAAGAGAAACCTGCCAATTGCTTCCAAATATTTATTATTTCGGAAATAGGCAAGTTTCTTCAAGATCTCTTCCTTCATCGCTGAGCACGTGATAAGTCAGCACCTAAAATGGCAATTAGCAATTTCATTGGTGCCGGCACCGGGATTTAAACTCTGTACACTACTCTGTGCTCGAGTCGTTGAATTTAAAATCATCGTCTGAACACGAATTTCTCTGTAATCCAGTTATTATTAATAATGTGTAAATGTTGCCATCAATTACGAAAAGTTTTTGCTTGAACACGCACTAACTTATAACGTTCATTTTTTATTTAAAAAAAAAACAAAGCTCCCTTGAATAAAAACCGCAGCGCGAGGAATCTCACTTCCCTCAGGACAACCCTCATTGTATGCTCTAAAGCAAGGAGCCAAGTCTCTGCTGGTCCGTCCAGCAGCAAATTATGCTTCCTCTCAATTACCTCCCCGTCTTCCGATATCATGGCCTTGGCTACTGGGAGACCGAGAGCATTCTGAAATACATAAAAGGTCATGGATTATGAAAACATGACAAGGAGAAATAAAAAGCAAAAATGAATGCTACATAAAAAACTGTTATTTAAGTTTATTATATTTGAACTATCTTTTTTAGAGATATAACCGCTAAAAATAAATATTTTTCGTCTTTTTCCAAACTGTAAACTGTTCCGTGTAAATAATACATACAATAATGTCTTGTTTTCACTGTTTTCAATCAATAACTCTATTTACAAATATAACAATTATTCAATCCCAACATTATAGATGTCCAAGATGAGAAATAAGAGACACATTGAAACTAAGTGTTTATTATATAACATGTGTTATATACATGTATCTGCTCTTACAATGGCTGCCATTATTTCGAAAACAAGATTCAGAGAGAAAGATCAGGGGATCAGTTCTTAGCTCTTTGTCTAACACTCCAAATTTCATCAAAAACCTTATATTAAATAAAATAATTGAAATCAAACTCAACCAGTGAACTCTCAATTGAAAAAACATGCACCAATTTAACTATTTTAATGACTTCTTCCATAAAGCTTCTCTGTCAGAGAGAGGATTATCTTAAAAACTGCTTTCTTGTCTTCATCAGAACGACATGACAGGACCATATGGAAGTAATCACTCAACAGGGAATGCGCTTTGGCATAGGGGTGGTTCATAAGCAGAACTGTTAAGGCAAATATGTAAGTAAATTTACTAATGTATGAATTATTTGACAATATGAAGAACTTGAATATATTAAGGAATTCTCAAATTACTATGACTAAAATTGTGCGGGATAACTTAGTTTAATAGTGTGCGGAATAACTTAGTTTAATAGTGGATCATGCTCTGAGAAGCTCACATGCTGACTTCTTCAACCAGGCGACCGCATAGTGAAGTGACCAGAGAAGTACTACCCGTGCTTTTATTTGAAAAGTGCCAGGCAGTGCGCGTACCGAGTGCGTAGAAGACCTCAATTTACGAAACCCGCGCACCTCTCCCTGCTCGCTGGGCGACTCGCTGGGCCTCCCTTCGGGGTCTCACCCGGTTGGTTTGCCCGCGCTGAGGGGAGTAGGGTGCGCGTGAGTTCGCCAGGAGTCCGCACCGCCACCAACATCGGCCGTACGCGCAATGGAGCGTGAGGGGGAGCCTCCCCCGCAACCCCAGAGGCGCAACAGGCGTCAGGTGCCGGTAGTGGAGCGTCAGCTTGCCGAGAGAAATATTTTCTCCGGTGAGCCGCCACGCCCACTACCGTCCATCCGCACAATGAGTGCGCAGCAGCGCTCCGGCAGACCATCGCCGGAGGCGTCCAACTATACAAGTACTGAGGAAGACGAAGAGGAGGAGACCGCCTCGGTAACATCCATCCGACAGCAGCCGCAGCCACGGGCAAGCGGAAGCGGAGAGATCGCAGGGGGCTCATATTTTTATGCAGCCCCCGCGGATTATACCCCACCGCCACGCCAGCCGAAGGCGCAGCGCAGGCACACACCACCAGAGACGGAGGCGTCCCTCCTGGAGAAGAGGACGAAGGTGGGTCCCCCCACCTCATCGCCGGAGGAGGGGCCGCAAGAACGAGACAAACCGCAAGTAAGTCAACCTGGGGCGAGGGCGTATTCCCAACCCCCCAGGTCGCCTTCATTAAATATAACTCCTACAAGCACACCCAGTATCTCCCCGGATAGGAGGTCCAACCGGGACCTCGATATGGAGGAATATGGAGGAGAGTCCGTATGGACGGATGCGACGTCGTATGCGACGTTCGCGAACGACGGCGTAAGCCGTGTTACACCATCAAACTACGAACCGAAGCCGTCAACGTCGTATGCGACGGCAGCACAAAAACCGCCATCACCAAGCGTCCAAGGGCGGACTAGTTCACCCAAAGCGCCGAAGGACACCAAAGGACAGTCCACTCAGGAGAGCACAAGAAAGGGGTACCCACCAATTATGGTTGAAAAGCTTCCTGAGTGGACCAAACATTTTAAGACTCTTCAACAACAACTGGGACACGCGCCTAATGCTCGACCGTACAGGGCAGGCTTTCGTTTCTTACCCCAGTCACCTAACGAGTACAGGTTAATTCAAAAATATTTGATTAACCTGTCTAAAACCACTGAAATCGCTTGGTATTGTTACACGCCAGCAAACGAACTACCAACTAAGGTAGGCATCAAGGGCCTACCTGAAAGCACTGAAACAGGCGAAATTACGGAAGCCCTAACATCTATGGGCTTCCCCGCCAAATACACAAAACTCATCCCGAGGCAGCGTAAACGACCGGGATGCTTATTTTTCGTGGAATTGGAACACCTCAACGAACAAGACCTCGCCCGGCTATACGCAATCAATGAATTACTAAGTATGCCGGGCGTTGAAGTCTTTTGCTGGAAGGGTAGAACTGGCCCATCCCAGTGCCACCGCTGCCAAGCTTTTGGACACTCGTCGGCGGCATGCTATAAGCCAATAAGATGTGTAAAGTGCGCAGGCGGGCACATAGCGTCTGAGTGCCCGCTACCACAAGGGGCGCAGGTCAAATGCGCCAACTGTGGACGTAATCACACAGCCAATGACCGAAGATGCCCCGTTTTTAAGAAGGAAGCGCGAAAACGGGGCATACAACTACACGCTCCCACACCCGATCCGCCGAGGAACATCGACACGGACGGATGGACGACGGTGGGAAGACGCGGGAACGCGCAAAATACGACACAGCGCGGGGAACAACACCCCCCCGCCCCCGCACCTCCAAAGCATAGGAAAAGTCGTCGAGAAGTGACGAATTCGTCAAGACCCTCCTCAAGGGCATCTTACGAAAGCGCCGAAGCGAAAATCCTCCTCCTCGCAAGAGGAAATGGAGCTCGATTCGCCGCTCTCTCCCCCCGACGCCGATGAAAGGGCGGCTTGTTCACCCCCAAGTGGTGAACAAGAAAAAGCGCAAAAAGCGCTCTTCGTATTTTTATTTATGAGCCGTCATCAGCGGCCCCGTCCTCTGTTCCGCCAGTCAAGGCGCCAAGGCCAACCGAATCGGCCACAGCCGGGCCCTCGAGGCCCACTCGCCCGACACCACCGCCTTCAGCGAAACCAAC